TGATTATGCATAAATTTGGCTGCGAGTACAATGCATGTCTATTCTGTGTTGGGTTTTTGGATTTTTACGTGGACCAAGGAAACTTGGGGGGGGACCTATGATTTTACCAGGCTTATTTATATAACCTTCACTTGTTATTTAGTACAGCAAACTCATATTTCTGAAATATAATATATATTTGAATTGCCTAATCAGAGTGAAATCAAAGTACCACCATGGCTAAGGCTTACAAACAAAAACAGCAAACAACACATGGCCTTCTTACTGGCAGATTCAACTCACTGTACATGTACTGAGATCATACTATGGATCAGACAATGTACTAATCTGTGCATTATTGTTTTTATAGCAAAGAATATTCCAGTGACCCATCCTTGATTCAGCTAGTCAGTGTACTGCAACTTGATCATGTCCAACTCATTAGGTCTTAATTAGGGTGATTTGGCTGTCAAATCCTACAAGAGCTGTGTGGTATAATGTAAAATGCACGAGCTTTGTAATCAGAGAAACTTGAGTACAAATCCCAGATCACTAAGGCATGGATATGGATCCTAGAGCTTCCTAAAAAGATACTATTTTTCTGGAATTTTAAGAGGCCTGGTATATAGTAGGCACTTGAGAAACGTTATCCATCTTCCCCAACGTAAGTTATACTGTTGGATAAAATGTTGTCTTTGATCTTTATGTCTCAAACTTTCATTAACTATGGAATGAAGGAAGGATTACTACTTCTCTTTCCCTGCCTCTGAATATGCCAGTACTGAGTAGTTTTGTGCCAGTAGTAAGTGAATGTCACTTACCTAAATCAGGCAGCGAAATGGAAAATGCACTGTTGATTGACAGGAGACACAAAAGGGTTAAGGAAAAAAGCCAGGTTCAGAAAGATTAGCTGATCCATCTCAAATAACATATTGATGACTAGGTTTCTTGCTGTAAGTGCATCTAGGCAAAGATGTGAAGCAAACCTCTCCTGTAGCTTTGTTTGATCAACCGTCCCCCTGCTTCCACACCACCACTTAAAAATGAGCTGATGTACCCCTGGGACCACCCATAGTTCCCTCCCCTAACTAGGCAACTTCAGGCTCTGCCCTGTCCATTCACAAGATCCTGTTTCCACCTTCAAACCTTCCAAGATGCCCATCAAATACAGGCCTACCTTGTTTCATTGCAATTCACAGACACTGCGTTTTTGACAAACAGGTTTGTGACAACTTGCCATCAGCAAGCCTATCAACACTGTTTTTCCAAGAACATTTTCTTAATGTCTCTGGATCATATTTTGGTAATTCTCGAAGCATTTCAAGTTTTTTCATTATTATTCATTATGGTGATCCGTGATCAGTGATTAGGACTCACTAAAGCTCAGAAGACGGTTAGCATTTTTAGCAACAGATTTTTAAATTAAGGTACGTAGGGGTGCCTGGGTGGCACAGTTGGTTAAGCGTCCGACTTCAGCCAGGTCACGATCTCGTGATATTTTCAATATAAACATTGAAAAAAAAATTAAAAAAAAAATAAAAATAAATTAAGGTATGTACATTTTTTTAGACATGTTTCACGCTTAGTAGACCACAGTATAAACACAACTTTTTTTTTTTAATCTTTTTTTTTTTTTCAACGTTTATTTATTTTTGGGACAGAGAGAGACAGAGCATGAACGGGCGAGGGGCAGAGAGAGAGGGAGACACAGAATCGGAAACAGGCTCCAGGCTCCGAGCCATGAGCCCAGAGCCTGACGCGGGGCTCGAACTCACGGACCGCGAGATCGTGACCTGGCTGAAGTCGGACGCTTAACCGACTGCGCCACCCAGGCGCCCCTAAACACAACTTTTTATATGAACTGGGAAACCAAAAAACTGGACTCACTTTATTGCTAACATTTGCTTTGTCGCTATGGTCTGGAACCCAACACACAGTATCTCTGAGCTGCACGTGGACATCCACTGTGGTGAAACAGAACCACCCTCTGCAGACATGGGACCCCGCCTACATGTATGCTTAAGCCAAAAGGATATCTTGAGGGCAGAATTCCAGGCCAGGGGGGATGGGAGATAGCAAATTGCTAAGTGGGAGAAGGACATTTGGCCCGAGTAGATTGTTCGGTTACACAGTTAAGGAGATGGAAGGGAGCAGGGTGTGGTAGAAAAAAACATCCACGTATTTTAAGCAACGGGTTTCAGTGCAGTCCGAGGGGGACACTCACCACGGGCCAGACCCCTGGGCTGGGTATATAAAATGATCAGACACAGTTTCTACCCTGAAGTAGCTGGGCGTTTAGTGAGGGAGACCCAAAGTACAACACTATGTGATAAGAACCTAAGGAATGTCCAAAGAAATAGCACTTCTGGGAAAATCAGCCAAGCTTTATGCAAGCCTCAGGTTCTTCATTTCTAGAGTGAACACCAGCTCTATCACACGGGGGAGTATTAGAGCTGCATGGGCGTACCTAAGCAGATGTGCCTGGGAAAGAGCTGAGGACGTTCAATGGTCCTTGCTGTCAGTGACTGTACAACCAGACCTGGTGCCATCAGAACGAGGAGCAGCGGTCCCTGGGGTCAGAGGGAGCTGCATCTGACTCTGAGTTCTGCCACTTGTCCACTTACCTGTGCAAGTCACATAACTTTTCAAAGCCCTAATTTTTCATCCGTGAAATGGAGAAAAGAGTTTCTATCTCATGGTGAGTATTGTGAGAACTGGAGAGAGAACACACACGTGAAGCCCTTCACCCTCCCTGTCCTCGATGCCTAGTTAGCGTACTTCCTTGGCTTCTCCACTCAAGGGTTCCTAGCTCAGCAAAGCCTTTTTTTTTTTTTTTTTCAACGTTTATTTATTTTTGGGATAGAGAGAGACAGAGCATGAACGGGCGAGGGGCAGAGAGAGAGGGAGACACAGGATCGGAAACAGGCTCCAGGCTCTGAGCCATCAGCCCAGAGCCTGACGCGGGGCTCGAACTCACGGACCGCGAGATCATGACCTGGCTGAAGTCGGACGCTTAACCGACTGCGCCACCGAGGCGCCCCTCAGCAAAGCCTTTCTTAATGCCAACTCCGTTCCTCTATTTTTTTGGGTCAGGGTGATGGTAGCTCCTATTTAAACATAGAAACGGAGGCTACAAAAAGTCTAGAATGATATTGCCTTCCTCTAGGTCATTTAACTCATTCATCAGCTATTTACGGAGTACCTATCATGTCTCACGCACTGTTCTTTATACTGGAGATACAGCAGGGGACAAAACCATGAGTGCCCTCATGGATTCTAGCAGGGTGAAGCAGATGCAACAAGGATTTTTATGTTCTGTCAACTAAGGAGAGAAGTGCAACTGAACAAAAGAGAGCAAGATGAGGGGCCAGGAGGGCTGCAGGTGAGGGCTGGTCTGCCGTTTTTCGGAAGATGGTCAGGGAAGGGTTCGCTGGTAAGGCAACTTGAGTAGAATCTGAAGGAAGGGAGGGCGTGAGCCACACTGTTATCTGAATGAAAGCGTTCTGGGAAAGGGAACGGCCAATGCAGAGACTGACAGGCAGAGGTGTGCTAGGTCTCTTTAAAGAAAAACAAGGAAGTCGGTGCATCTGGAACAGAGGGTGTGAGAACAGGTTTAACATCTAGTTCCCATGTAAAACTCATAGCAGAGCTGAGACCAGTTGGCATTTAATTCTTGGCTTATTTCTACCTAAATCAGACCATTTAATGACTGTCCTAATAGACAGTGTGTGTATCCGAGAGAAAGAGAGGGTGGAGAGCCTTACTCTTTTTCCATGTCACATTCCCAGTGTTGCAAAACCTCTCTCTGAAGGTAAGGTACTCAAGTAGGAGTTGGTGTTCAATCAAAAAGCTCAACAAAAACAGTAATAAATTCTATCTTGTCCTGTTATACCTACACGTTATTAATTGAAAAATAAAGGCTGAGGGGCAGATTTTGCCAAAATTTATGAGAAAAATATATCTTATTTTTATTTGAGAGAGATAGAGAGTGAGTTGGGAAGAGGGGCAGAGGGAGGGAGGGGGGGGGGAGAGAGAGAGAGAGAGAGGGAGAGAGAGAGAGAGAGAGAGAGAATCCCAAGCAGGCTCCATATAGTGGGAAGCCCGATGCAGGGTTCCATCCCATGACCCTGGGATCATGATCTGAGCTGAAACCCAGGGCCAGTCAACTCAACTGACTGAGCCATGCAGGTGCCCAAGGAAAAAATCTTATTAGAGCTTCCTAAAGATGAAACATCTTTCTCTGCAGGTAGTAAATTTCTCTTTTATAGAGGTGTGCAAGCACAGATATTTGGCTTGTTAGGAAGTTTCCAGAAAAGCTTCTGTACTGCATTAGACTAGATAATATGGATTTCTCTTATAACCCTGTGATTCTCTAACTTTAAGAAAAAAGGTTTCTCAGAAGTATTAATAGATGTTAGAAGACATGCACAGGATGTTAGGGAGACACAGAGGAGACACAGGTAATCCAGGTCTGGTTAGAGAGGTTCAGGAAAGGTGTCCCAGAAGGGATACTGTTTGACCAAATTTTAAGGGAAGACCAGAACTCTGATAATCAAAGGAGGTTGGAGGAGGGCAGGTGCATTCCAGACCAAGGGAATGTCATGGTTAAAGCAAGGAGGCACCAATACCATGGCAGAATTACATCTGTCGGGTGTTTATGTGGGATGGTAAAGGAAATCTGAGTGAGAGATGGAACTGGACAAAAAGGGAGCTTCCATAAAATATTCACTTGCCATAGAAAAAGCCTGGGTATTCTAAAAGTCATTAAGGAGTCACTGAATAGTTCTAAGAAAAAGGAAATGAGATTTGCATTAAAAAATATCAGCATTTTCACCTGGATGAATTTTTTTGTTAATGTTTGTTTATTTTTGAGATAGAGAGAGACAGAGCATGAGCAGGGAAGGGGCAGAGAGAGATGGAGACACAGAATCGGAAACAGGCTCCAGGCTCCGAGCTGTCAGCACAGAGCCCGATGCGGGGCTTGAACTCATGAACCGTGAGATCATGACCCGAGCCGAAGTCGGACGCTTAACCGACTGAGCCACCCAGGTGCCCCGCCTGGATCAATTTTTTAAGGGACCACAGGCATCATGCTAATCGTTTTTTGTCAGAAGCATCTAACCTGCCAGGGCCCGAGTATGCCTTCAAGCGTAGGTCTAACTGACCACTGGAACTCTACTTCCATGGTCAGGAGTACAATCTGTGAACAAGACAGTCTGTTGGATCTCTTGGTAGATCTAGATCCAGCAGACAACTGGACTAAAAATCATGTAACTTTCAGCTTCTACGAAGGACGAGAATGTCAAGGTAGAGTAGTAATTCCATGCCAGTGTATCTGGACCTTAGGGAAATTATCTTATTGTCCCCTGCTCTTATAAAACACAGATCTCTGTCTATATCCATTTCTACATATTAGAGAAGTGCCTGCGGAAACTGCCCAGCCTCTCTCGTAGGCAAGAGGAAACATGGGCTGGGGCATGATTTGCCCACAACTGCACACTGAGTAAACGACCAAGCTGTAACTAGCATCCAGAATCCAGGCCTCCCATACTGCTGGCGAACGTGTAACCTTCTCAACCACTGGTAATTAGCGCGGAGATCTTGGAGGGCCCTTTCCAGGTCTAACACCTTGAGATATATGAACCAGTCAGCTGCAAAGTTCATCTCCCCTGTCTACACATTACTTCTCTCTAGAGATGCAAATTAGAATACAGAAGTGTAGACAGGTAAAACACTGAAACTCGCAGGGCCAAGAAAACACACAAGGACGTAATTAATAACACAATGGCCGGTGATAACAGGGATATATGACACAGTGGCCGGTGATAACAGGGATATATGGCAACAAAATTACTTTCTGGACTTTGCTTAGGCTTTCCTCTCTACCACTGTTTACAACCCTGTTTCATCAATTTTTTTTTTTTTTTTCCCAAACGGATGTTGTCACCTTCTTATTACTAGCTGTGGGTGTGGTTCATTCACAAATTGGAAAGAAGAGGCAGGTGATAAGCAGGCCTTTGGCTTTGGTTTCTGATACCCCCTGCACCGTTTCTGAGACTAGGACGCAGAGCCACAGGGCTGACACTGCGAGTTCCCCCATCGGGGGGTGGGGGGGGGGAGAAACAAAAACAACCGCCAAAGACTTTTTACCTTACATTTTCTTTCAACTTGTTTTTCTTCATTTTAAATCTGTTCTTTTCTTTCTTCAAGAATTTCTGCAGTCTTTTAAGTGCTTCTTTTCCGTCTAAGCTAAGAGGAATCAGAGGATATAAACAACACGGCATTTGAGAGAGTACTAGAGAAGGAAGAGGCTCATTCCAGAACACGTCCCACTCCAGGAAGCGAGAGCAAATGCCTCATCAACCTCTGTGCTAGTCTTTGTTTAGATGCCAATATGAAGGAACACACACCAGTCAGCTACGAAGGGAATTATACTTCAGTACGAGCTGCATCCACCGCGAATGGTCTCTATTTCGTACATGTGAAGCAAGAGCTTCCTTTCAGAGAAGATGACTTAGGGAGAGAATAGTTTACAAACTATACTGGAAATACAGCAATTCTGGCTCCTGAAATCCATGTCACCAACTTTTAATTGACTGACTGATATTACAACAACGGTGGTACATTTATTGCCCAGTTAATGATTAAAACTCTTCCAAATATGCTCTTGGGGTTTTTTAGGGGAGCTGGAGAGGGAATGATACATCCACACCATCCCACCCAGCATGGAACACTACTCCTCCCTCCAACCCTTGAACTTCTTGCTTTTGACCGTTGCTGTTTCCATTTCCACAATGTGCCCTCAGTAACTAAAGTTGACGAATAAGGCCCATTTGAACAAATATTCCCGATAACACTGAATTCTTAGATATTAAATTAAGTCTAAATCCCAGAGACAGTCTTCTTAACTTGCAAAGACACAAATTAAGTCATGACCAGTGATTTCTTTCCGCAAATGCTATGATAGGGCCGAAGCGAGTTTTATTACTATTTACTTCTCCCTTTTGACTTAATTCCTAGCACGATATTAAAGTTCCCTACTTGGAGAGATGGGCATTTTCTTAAGAGAGAAAAGCAATATGATTAAAGATTCTAGCATATGACTATACACAATCCCAAGTCTCTTATTCATCACAATTCTAGATTAAAGTAGCTTCTCTCTACTCATGACGCAAATCCTAAGGATGACACAGTCAAAGGAAGACGACTACTTCTTAAAGTCTGATTTTCCTACAGCATCAATACTATTAGCTACAATGCTAAGAAAGAGAGGAACTCACTCTATTTTTGGGTAGTTGCCTTTTGTTTTGTAGACCTCTTCATACACTTCTTCACTATTTTCTTCTGGAATTAAAAGAACTGTTTTCATGTAGTACAATGACAATAGCTCAAATTCATATTTCACCAGAAATTATTGGATACCTATCATGTGCTAGGTACACTTTCATGTCAGGCACGTTTTTAAAAATATTTTTTAATGTTTATTTATATTTGAGAGAGAGAGAGAGAGAGTGAGTGCAAGCAGGAGAGGGGCAGAGAGGGAGACAGAAATCTAAGCAGGCTCTAGGCTCTGAGTTGTCAGCACAGAGCCTGATGGGGGGCTTGAAGGGAGATCATGACCTGAGCTTATGTTGGATGCTCAACAGACTGAGCCACATTTTCTTTTAAAGTTTATTTATTTATTTGGAGAGAAAGGGACAGAGAACCCCAAGCAGACTCCGTGCTGTTAGCACAGAGCCCAACACAGGGCTTGATCTCATGAACCGTGAGACCATGACCTGAGCCAAAACCATGTGTCAGACGCTTAATCAACTGAGCCACCCAGGTCCCTCAGGCATACGGTAAAAATAATTAAACCCCTATAAAAGTAGGTACAAAATGAAAATTCATATTTGCTTCTCCCCTGATCCTAAGTCTGATCTGATATAGTCAAAGAAAGCAGGTTTATCAACAGATTCCATCCTTCTACCCTCTTCCTTTGCATATTTTGTATATAACATTCAGAGTCTATAAACATCACATGTTGTGTTGGATGTTGGGGCAATAGACGGGAACCAAAGCATCCTGAATAATCTTCCCCTTCTTAGCATGGCTTTAACCTAGCCTAATACATCAGCTTAAGATACACAGATACAATTGAAGGCTACCCTGTATGGGAGGATTTTCAAGTTTAATTTTTTTTAATGTGTATTTTTGAGAGAGACAGAGAGACAGTGTGTGAGTGGGGGCGGGGCAGAGGAAGAGGGAGACAGAGAAATCCAAGGCAGGCTCCAGGCTCTGAGCTGTCAGCACAGAGCCCCATGCGGGGCTTGAACCCACACACCGTGAGATCATGACCTGAGCCGAAGTCGGGCTCTCAACCGACTGAGCCACCCAGGCGCCCCCCTACCCACATTTGCAAACGTCTTCTTATGCTTACCATCATCTGAAGCAAATGAGCTAGAGAAATCCGACCTTGTTCTGTGGGGAGAAGTAACGCAGAGACCATTAACCTGTTGTGTTGTACCTTTAAAGTCTTACCACACTGCTGAAGGGCTGAGATGCACTTACCTCCCTCTGCTGGGGCACTCAACATCGTCGTATGTCTCCTCTGAGATGGAGCGAGGCTTCCAGGCCCCCTGGCCTGGCATTTCTTTAGTGACCTCCAAGGCCTCCACATACCCACCTATAAAGAAAACAGAGAAAGTCCTGGAAGAATAGCTCATCAAGTGCTACTAGCATAAATGCATTCGCACATGTCGTGGCAGTGGAGGCAAGAACAGGAAAGGCAGATTTCATCAACTAAAACTGGATTATAATCTTGATGTGTGTGCTTCTTTGGCAAACCATTTTGCCTTGCAGAGACTCAGTTATGGTTCTCTGAAGCTGGGATACTAAAAACACGGACTCTTAAGTGAGTGTGGCAAGGATGAATAGGTATTCATGAAAAGTGCTCGTTACCTAGTGACCAGTAACTCCTCCCTCTTCTCTGATGGCTCTTCTCTAATCTCAGACCTCAGATGGTGATATCCTCCAGGGTACAGCCCTGGGGCTTCTCTCTCTTCATAAATTTTTTTTTTAATGTTTATTTTTTTTTTTATTTTATTTTTAAAAAAATTTTTTAAACATTTATTTATTATTGAAAAACAGAGAAGGTCAGAGCGTGAGCAGGGGAGGGGCAGAGGGAGACACAGAATCCGAAGCAGGCTCCAGGCTCTGAACTGTCGGCACAGAGCCCGACGCGGGGCTCGAACTCACAAACCGCGAGATCATGACCTGAGCCGAAGTTGGAGGCTTAACCAATAGAGCCACCCAGGCACCCCTTTAATGTTTATTTTTGAGAGGGAGAGCATGAGAGCGAGTGGGGGAAGGGCAGAGAGAGAGGGAGAGAGACAGAGGGAGAGAGGGAGAGAGAGAGAGAGGGTGAGAGAGGGAGAGAGAGAGGGTGAGAGAGGGAGAGAGAGAGGGAGAGGGAGAGAGAGAGACAGACAGACAGACAGACAGAATCCGAAGCAGGCTCCAAGCTCTGAGCTGTCAGCACTGAGCCTGATGCGGGTCTCAAACTCACCAACTTTGAGATCATGACCTGAGCTGAAGTGGGATGTTTAACCGACTAAGCCACCCAGGTGCCCCACTCTCTCTTGAAATTTAGATGATCTTATCCAGTTGTGTGGCACTTTTCTCTTCAAATTTCTTAGACCAGTTGACTGAGCGAGCACATTAGCATTTCCTTACTCCTTAGTGATGGAATTAGCCAGAAGATGGGGTGCCAGGTTGAAAAATGTACAGGGATTGTGGGTGCAAGTAGCGAGCCCTGTTAACTGCAGGTGCTGGTTTATTTCACAGAGCTATACACTTGTCATAACCATAAAACTGTCGTATTTTTATCAGTTGGCATAGTTTGATATTTCGAGTACGGGTGATTCAGAACCATTTTCACACATGAACTGTTAATCAGAAAGAAGAAGTGATACATCTGAGAAATAAGCAAGAAGCAAACAGTCTCGTGTCAATTAAACGAACCAAGTAACAAAATTTTAACCCCTGGTAAGAAGTCAGCATGTTCGAACCCCAAACTGTCTCAGGCACGTCAGCTCCTTGAGCCGTTATGTGCTGCTTTTCCATAAGAGGTTATCAGCAAGTTTCTCCCAGCACAAAACAAAGATGCTGCACACACAGGTGCTTAATTCCTAGTTCAAGACCGCTTTTTTTCTTTTTTAATCCTTCCTTTTGGCTGCGGCAAATGTTAAAGTTTATGGCTTCCTCTTAAAAACACAGACAGCTCCCAAATTTACATCTCTCACTTAGACATCTTTCACAAATTCTAGATTCTCCCTCACCCTTCACGTCACTCCCATTTGGTTGTCTAAATACATTATGTTCCAAACCAAACTCAAGGTTTCTTCTCTGCAAATCTGCATTTCCTGAGGTCGGTCCCAGCTAAGTAAACAGTGGCAGCTCGTCCTTTCTGTCGTTCGGGTCCCAAACAGGAAGACGTCCTTGATTCTCTTCTCTACTTGCAAATTCTATCCTGAATCCAAGCACGGCTCAACAAGTCTACCCCGCACGCTCCTCCAAGCTCCCGTCCTTTCTCTCTCACGTTAGCACCACATGCTCCTAACAGGCCCCTGATTGATCCCTTCGCATTTCTTCTTTCACGACACCAGCCAGGATAATTCTTTAAATGCAATCAGATCACTCTGTTCTTGTGCTCACAGCCTGTCATTTGTTCTTAAAAACCTGTCAACGTAAATGTCAAAGTCCTTGCAATGGTCTACAGAAGCCCCCACGCTATCCGGCCCCTTGTCATGTCTCTGACCTCATCTCCTACTATACCCTGCTCCAGCCACACACCTCCTGGCTGCTCTGCCCCCACACCCGGTAGGCTCCTGCCCCAGGATATTGGCACTCCTTCTCCCCTCTCCCCCAGAACATTCTTATCCTAGATACACATGGCTCTCCTCATCTACGTTACAGCTTTGAAGTCACCTATGAACACTTGAAAAATGCCACTTCTACCTCTCCTTGGCTTTCCTGATTCTCTTTCCTTGCCTTATCTTTTTCCCTGTAACATTTACTGCCATTCCATATAGTGGATATTTTATTGTTTAGATATTTATGATCTGTCTCCTCTGATTAGAATGCAACCTCTGTGAGGATAGGAATTTTTATCAGTTTTGCCTACTACTATACCCCCAGCCCCTGGACCAGTGCCGGGCACATAAAAGGCACTCCGGTGTTTTTTAATATTAAATGATTTGAATAGATAGGTCTTCTAACAGAAGTGTTTTCTGTACTGAATTTTTAGTTACAGTGTACTGATATTTAAAATTTTCTATCCAGTATCTCATTACATACTTGTTATTTGTTCTTTTTTCTTCCCCTTCAGCCTCCTCTTTCTTGACTGAGATTTCTTCTCTTTATTCTTTTTTCTTTTCTATTTGTTTGGAAGTTTCCATTTGCTTAGAAGTTACCCGAGGTATGTTTTCAATTTTACTTCTAACACACAGGAAGAAGCACACATCCTAAGAGTACAGCTCAATGGTTTTTCCCAAGTTGAACACATTCATGCATGGAGCACGTATTTCAAAAACCCAACACTGCCAGTGCCCCTCCGAGCCCCTCCCACGCTCTGTTCTAGTCGTCATTCCTTCTCACAAGGGTAGCCACCATCGTTAACGCCTAACACTGGAAGTAAATTCTGCTTGTTTCTGAACTTTTATTAATGGAATCATCCAGAATGTTTTCTTTGGTGTCGCCTACTTCAATACTCCGTGACATTCATCTGTGTTGTTGCATATAGTTGTAATTTGTTCCTTCCCGTAACTATTCCATTGTGTGAATACACTACATTTATTCATTGTACTTTAGATGGACACGTGGACAGTTTCCAAGGTGAGGCTGTTATAAAAAGTTCTGCTATGAACGTCTTGTATCTGTCTTGGTAGACTGAAGGATGCATTTCTATTGGTACAAGGACAGGCACGGCGTTGCCAGTCATAGGCATACGCCGGACTTTAATAGACACTGACTGCCAGACGGTTTTCCAAGGTGAGTACCCCAGTTCACAGTCCCAGCAAGTGTAGGAGAGTTCTAGCTGCTCCACAGCTTCACTAACACTTGGTATTTTTAGTCTTTTTTACTTTAGCCATTTTGGGTGGGCAGGTAGCGATACCCCATTGTAGGTTTCATTTCCATTTCCCCACGACTTAATGCAGAGCTCTTTATCATGTATTTACTTTTTGAATATCTTCGAGTGAAGTACCTGTTCAAGCATTTTCCTAATTTCATTTTTCTGATTTCTATTCTTAAGTTTATTTATTTTGGGGGGGGGGGCCATGAACGCATGTGCAAATGGGGGAAGGGGCAGAGAAAGAGGGAAAGAAAGAATCCCAAGCGGGCTGTGCGCTGTCAGCATGGGGCTGAAACTCACGAACTGTGAAATCACGACCTGAGCCAAAATCAAGAGTTGGATGCTTAACCGACTGAGTCACCCAGGTGCCCCTGATTTTTTTTTTTTTTTCTGGATACAGTGACGTTCACAGAAGCTTTATATATTCCATCTGAGTCCTTTGTCATATATCTATATGTACAGATCTCTCTCTCTCTCTCCCTCTCTAGATATCTGTATATCAAATAACCTCTTCCACTCTGCGTCTTGCCTTTTCACTCTGGTATCTTTTGATGAATATATCCTGGCTATGCTCTTCTAAGGCTAATGTAAATTAATACTACAATTAAAAACCTTAGACTGCTTTAATTGTGAGTTACCTTCTCAAAGTATGTGCTATTAATGTTCAGTATTTTTTCCCCTCTCCCCAGTTTTATATTCTTGGTGGTTTTTTTTTGTTTTTTTTTTTTTTTCAGTTGATATTTTTGGTCAGCTTTTTTCTTGCATCCAAAATTCTCTATCCAGGATTATCTTCCTTCTGCCTGAAGTATATGCTTTAGAATCTCCTTTAGAGATTTCATTTGGTGATAAAAGTCTCTTTTTGTCTGAAAATACCTTAATTTTTCTTTCACTGTTGACCTGCATTTGCACGGGCTGCACAATTCTAGACAGACACTCAGGATCCTTCGGCTGCACTGTATTCAAGTTACACACTCTTGTTGAGAACTCAGCAGTCAGCCTGCTGGTTTCTTTCTGGGTGACTGACCTTTTTCTTTGTTTGCTTTGAAGATATTTGAAGATATTTTCTTATTCTTCAGTTTCTTTAAGATCTAACTAGGTGTGTTCTTTCATTTATCCTGCTTGAGAACTTTGGGGCTTCTTCATCTACAAACTGATGGTCTTTCCACAATTCTAGAAAATGATGAGACATTATCTTTTTACTTTTTCCACTTTCAACTCTTTCTAAGGCCCCTTTATAGAACTCTGACTTGATGTTACTTTTAAGATTTTTTCTTTTATCCTTGAGGATTCTTATCCTCTGTCTCATTCTTTCCTATCATTCCCTACGGACTATGTTGGGATAATTTCTCTGAATGTATCTCCTAGTTCCTTAATTTCCTTTTCACCGGTGTCTAATCTGATATCACTCCCTTTCTATATCACTTTATCAAATTACTGTTTATCTCTATCAGTTCTGTTTGTTCCCTGTTCCTATTCTTTTTACTTTTTAAAATCTACTATGATGTTTTGTATTTAACAACTCTCATATCTGTAACTATCTTTCAGGTTGGTTCCTGTTGTCTGCTGTTCTGCTGGTCTCCAATCACCGTGACTTGTTTGCTTGTGTGTTTAGGAATTGTGGCCTATGAACTGTTAATTTTTAAAAGGATACACTGGGGAATTACTTGAAACCTAGGATGGAAGGAGGCTGCATCAAAGAGGATTTTGTGTGCTTCCAGCAGTGATCTGGGAGGGCTCACAAGTTGATGCACATTAGACTAAATTGGGTTTCCTCTGGGCCACACACATAGTAGTGGGGATTTGAACTGCAGGTGGGCAAGACGATCAGCTCATGGGAATCTTTTCTTTTTTTTTCTTTTTCCCTTCAGCCAGCACCAGGGTCAAAACGGACACGTTTCGGCTCCCTGGGGTTTAGGCTTTGTTAATTTTGTTTTCATCCCCAAGAAGCAATACTTTTTTTTAGTTTCTTCGTTTTTTTACAAGAGGCCTATTTGCATAGGAGTATAGAAAGACACGCCATTGTCTTTTTCTTCTCAAAATTTTCTGTTTTCCTGCCCAGTCTCCTTGACTAAGCATTTTATGCTATTGAAACAAGTACTGCAAAGAGCCATTAATGGACCCAGCGACTCCCTTTGTGCTTTCGCGGCCTGCGCGTTATGTACAGATTACTGAGAATAATCTTCTTTGCACTGTTTTCTTCACGGCATAATCCTCAAATCTATAGTGACTCCTCGTGGGCAGTCCATAATTGCGTGAAAACAGCTTTCAGCCCCCCTATGCAGGGCTCTCCTTTAACTCTTTTATTAACTTCAACTTGTATTCCTCTTTTTTTTTTTTTTTTTTTGCTAGACTCCAAATTCAGTCTACCCACTTCTCAAGGCATGGTTTTGATTTTATGCCAACTCTGTGCTTTCTCATGTGTCATTAATATCACCAGAAATGTCTTTCCCCCCCCGTTGTCACATTTATTTTTGAAAAAAAAAATTTATCATGTTCGTAACATTTGAGATCTAGCCTTTTATAACACATTTATAAGAACACAATACAGCATTTTAAACTATGGGCAGAGTCTCATTCATTCTATGTGGACATAATCCTTTGAGGTCCTGACGTTATACAGGAGTCTCCTATTATTTTTTTAAAACAAAATTTTTTTTTTCAACGTTTATTTATTTTTGGGACAGAGAGAGACAGAGCATGAACGGGGGAGGGGCAGAGAGAGAGGGAGACACAGAATCGGAAACAGGCTCCAGGCTCCGAGCCGTCAGCCCAGAGCCCGACGCGGGGCTCGAACTCACGGACCGCGAGATCGTGACCTGGCTGAAGTCGGACGCTTAACCGACTGCGCCACCCAGGCGCCCCAGGAGTCTCCTATTATAAGCTCACTCGGGGCAGGCCCCGGGATATGGCTCCTGTCCTCTGCCTAACACTCCGTCAAAACAGGGGCTCAAGGGATTCGGAGCTCAATAAAAACCCTCAGGCCAAGTGTAGCTCTGGCAGTCACCTTCCAGGGCTCCCGGTTCCTGCAAATATGCGGATGCTTTCTTTTTATATCAGTTCTGTGATACTTTAATACATCTTCCAAAAATGTAACCTTTACTTGTCTTAGTCGAGACAATTATTCAGGTTGTCCAATCTACCACAGTCGCACTGCAGTTGGATTTCTTCTTTTATTCCTTCCTTTCACAACGTTTTGTCGGGGGTTCTCCAGTGAGCAAGACACTGTTCCAGGTTGCAGAAATACAGAGAAAAATACCACATGGTCTCTGATCGCGTGGTGCCCACCGCGTACCATGGGAGACAGACACATAGCCCGTGAATTGCAACGTAAGGGATGCTCTGCTTTTTTTAGATGAGGAAATAAACGAAGAGAACTAACACTAATTGAGCACGCTAACTAGATACTTTATGTGCATTGACAAATGGGCCTTGGAAAATAAGGCGTATTATTCCCATTTGCATATGAAAGTCCATAAACTTCCCAAGGTTATGGGATTAGCATACAGTGGTCCTGGGTCCTAGAACTGCTTCACTCTAAAGCCTAATGTGGAAATGTGGTCATTCGGTTGCTGTTTTCACGTGATGGAATCAGAAAGGAGTGAGGAATTATGTCCCTGGAGAGCAGGGAAGAGGAGGATGGACTGAAGTAAGGGAGACCTCAGAAGAAGTGACTTTTTAAAAAAATTTTTTTTCTTTAATGTTTATTATTTGAGAAAGAGACAGAGAGCATGCAGGGGAGGGGCAGAGAGAGAGGGAGACACAGAATCGGAAGCAGGCTCCAGGCTCTGAGCTGTCAGCACAGAGCCCGACCCGGGGCTCGAACCCACAGACCGCGAGATCACGACCTGAGCTGAAGTCAGCTGCCTAACCGACTGAGCCAGCCAGACATCCCAAGAAGTGACTTTTAAGACAGATCTTGAAGGATGCCTAGGACATCAGGAGGTAGAGAATTAGGTAGAGAATTCCGGACAGAGATTGGGCAAAATTACAGGGGCATTTAAACACGTGGCTTGGGAAATACAGAATAGAGTATGCAGGGATGTGGCCAACTAGTCCAAAGGCAGATTTTAAGGGGCCCTGAGTCCATCTCGTGATCACTGTGTTTTTATTCTTCTCATAACTGATTTGTAACACGTGAAATGTCAGTGGTTTGCCATGGTTTATTGGGCTGGAGCGGACATCTGTTTTGTCTACCTGCTATCTTCTTTTTCTCCCCGGTAACAGCCCTTTCCTTTTGTTTGGGAAATCCTCCAATCTGAGTTACTCAGTTTTGGTAGAAGTGACTCTGCCCCCAGCTCCAGGGGTGAGTTTATGGCACAGGCTGGGCCAACCACAGCATCGTCGCTCCCATTCGTGATGCCTGGATCAGTGATGACATGTGACCCAATCGGAGCCAGTAAACCCAGATCTGGGCCTTTTCTCCTAATGGCTGAGAAGGTTACAATTTCTAGTGTTCCCCTGGGGTTCCCAAGAGGATAGGGTATAAGCCCGTTAATGCTAGAAGCCATCTCGCCTCCGGAAGGGTAGGATTTGTCTGAAAATGGAGCCATGCCAGAGGGCGAAAAGCCAAGAGGAGAAGAAGTAATATTGAGTCTTTGTATTCTATCTGCGGACGCGGATCCCGCCATGGCCAGACTTTCCTCAAAGTGAGCCTCCTCTTTTTTTTTTTTTTTTTTTTTTTGCTTAACACAATATGATGTGATCATTGTTACCTATAATCAAGAGTCTTGACTAACATGAAGTAAAACACAACCTAAATAAAGTCAGCTAATGATATCATACTGTGTCAATTATTTTGGCCCACAAAAAACAACAGGAGCTGGCAGACACACAAAGAAAGTATTTGCTGAGCACCTATCATGTGACATACGGTCAGATCTGGCCCTGACAAATCCCCTGTGAGGTCCACAGTATGAGCCCTTTTTATGCACGAAGCAACACTGCAGGAATATGAAGTTATTTCTTACGTAGCCAGTAAGATTTGAACTCTGGTCTCCTTCTACATCCAGTGCTCTTTCCATGATCTGCATACCCGTGTCACTAGGGCGAGTTACCCGGTACATAACAGATGTTCAGTATTTATAAACTAATCTACAATCGTGGGCACGCACAACTTTAGAATCATGTGGTGACGGTGAAGAGAACCAGGAAGAACACAACTTACCGTGGCTTAAGGAGTGTCTGGCCAGCTTTGGGTCATGGGGGCGGGGCTTTGTCTGGACAGCCATGATGCTCCCAGTGTCCTGTTTCCCGGGCAGCGGGCTCCTGCTGCCTCCGTGGACCTTCATCACCTTGTTTCTTCCCAGCATCCCTCCAGAGGCAGCCCCCTAAATGCACGCAACAGGGAGAGTGCTGCTGAATTCGGATTTACCTGCTCTGTGTTTCACTGACGTGTGCTGTTCATTCATTCACTTCTCACGGATGGCAATGATCTCTTATGGTACTGAACGCAGTCTCCCTAGACTAAGTTTCACAAGGATGCATACGATGTCTTTGGCTCGCCTCTGAATGGTCACCGAAGGCCCCGCACGGAGGCAGCCCCCACCCCCGCCTGGAGGCAACCAGCATGAAACACAGCACTGACAAAGCAGGCTCTTCCTATATTTAATCTCACCTCATCCCCATGACACCCCATTAGGAAAATACTAGTCCATGCGCTAAAGAGTTTAGAAGGGTTAAATAACTGGCCTCTGGTCTCACAGCTAGTACTCGACGAGGGCAGGGCTTGAGCTCACAGCCCCGTTCTCTTGACCACCGAGGGATGCTGTGTTCCTTCTGCCTCACATTTCATCTTCCCACCTGCCATTTTTCTGTTCCTCCTCACTTCCTTTCACCCCTCCTCCCTCCAGGGTTTGTCAGACACCAACGCTGAGTTCTGGTGATTGAGACAACGGGCAGGGTGGCCTCTACAGCAATCACGGAGACGATGCACAGGAACAATTAAGGTACCACGGGGCCAGCGCTATTTACAGTTGTATTGTTCACGGGGACGGAAGCAGAGGAGGGGAGGTCAGTTCTCTAGGCTGGGAGACAGGGTGGGGGAAGACTTCCAAAGCAGGTCTTATTAAAGTGTATTTTATTTTATTTTTTTTTCTCAACGTTTTTATTTATTTTTGGGACAGAGAGAGACAGAGCATGAACGGGGGAGGGGCAGAGAGAGAGGGAGACACAGCATCGGAAACAGGCTCCAGGCTCCGAGCCATCAGCCCAGAGCCTGACGCGGGGCTCGAACTCCCGGACCGCGAGATCGTCACCTGGCTGAAGTCGGACGCTTAACCGACTGCGCCACCCAGGCGCCCCTATTAAAGTGTATTTTAAAATGTAAGTAAGAGATCGACTGAGGGGATAAAAGAAGACCCGATGTGCAAATCAGCACGAGCAAAGCCACGGGGGTCTGGTCAAGGGTTAGTGTCCTCGGACCAGAGTATGGAGGCTGACGCTGAGGGCGGAGTGAAAGGAAGAGGGGGGAACAAAGAGATGTGAAAGATGGGACAGAATGAGGCCGAGTGATGCAGGGTCTTGTGGGTGAGGCCGCCTGTGGGCTCCACTGAGCCTCGGGCAGCAACCCGAGCGGATGTGCATTTCAGAAAGATCTGGATGGATTACCAGGAAGAGACCCTGGAAGGACCAAGGGGAATTACAGCATTTCTGGCCATCTGTCAGACGACAGTGGGAGAGGAGATTACGGTCCTTCCGGCGCCAAGTGGGCGGGAGGCTTGACCAGGACAATAACCTCTGAGAGTAGCTGGGAAAAAGCTGACGTATTTAAGAGATATAAAGGATGGGGTCTCCCCAGGTCTTGGTGGGACGTGGGCAAACTCAAAGGCCAGTACAAGGAGGGGCATTCTTTTAAGTCACACAGCCAAGAATGAAGTTTTTAATGGGGGAAAATGACAGGGAAGAAAGTCAGTTTCACACACGTGCCTTCCTTCGTGGAACTTCGTGGAACTGCCTTCCTTCGCTGTGGCCCCTAATAAAGTGGGGCGGGGCTCCCCTCGGGCTGTCCTTGGGAATGCTTCCGCGGAGGCTCGGTTTGAGCCACCGATTATGTTTTTACTGACTTACCATTTACATCTGACCCCAAATACCACTGCTACTCCACCCACCACGTTTATGTAACGGAATCCAAATACTTTTTATTCCCAACCTCAAATCCACTCTCGGAAAGCAGGAATATGTCCCTTTAGTGGTGGCCTGACCCCATACCTGGTCGGTGTCCCTAACCTGGCTCCCCTATTGCCTTTTGCACGCTCCTGATTAACCCCTTCCTGACCTCGGCCTCCTCCTCGCCAACTTAGGGGCTTGCCCTCTCTCCGGCCTCACGTGCAACGCCGCCCCCCCTAACTCTGGTCCCTGCCTTTCATAATTCGTGACTTATCTCTTCCTTGAATTACGCTGCTTTGTGACACCCTATAAACACACAACCCCGGCCAGCCTGGGTCTCCAGGCCCACGACACCGACAAGCTGTTGGATTCACCCAAGCCCTGCAGATGGAACTGAAACGATCTGAGGTCATAAGGTAGGCACATCTCAAATAGGTTCTTAGAATGTTCTGAGCGGTACAACTGCCGAGGTGGTAGCAACTGTCGAGGCCTCTGACCACTCCAGCTTTTCTGAAGGGGACAGTGTCAAATGGATACAGAGATATGCATACAGGTGATATTTGCGGACAGGTAATAACAACACCTTTCATTTTTATGGAAGCTTAGGGTTTACCAAGCACTTTTACGCACATTACTTCTTTTTATCATCACTAACGAGACAGAATCAGGATGGGGCTGAAGATAACTGGGTACAGATTATTTCTTTTTTCTTTCCACATGAGATGGCCTAGCTGAGAAAGGAAGTTGTTTTAAGCCGGAGTACACGCCTGAAGGAGGCCCCTCCTCCAGGCGCCTTCTTTTGCAGGGCAGAGCACCCCAAGGGCTGGCCCTTTATGTCTTGCCCCCAGGGCACTTGGCTGAATCCACACTAGTCCCAGCCCGTCTCCTAAGGCCTGCTTCAGGACTACTGAATGGGAAATCCAAGGCTAGAGCTCTGTGTTACGGTCACGTTCATTTCTTTGGTAAAACACCCAACACCCGCTGCGTCTTCTGACTCTGGACGGCTGCCGTCACAGCCTCGGAAAGGTCCCTCCATGAACTGCTGCTACAACATGGCTGGATTGTTCTGTTTGGCCCGGAACCCTAGAACACGGATACCTCGAAAAGACGGCTTGAATGTAGATCCCTTTCTGGTTTTCGAGGTTCCAATTCACACAGCTCCTTTTCCTTCTCTTTTTTACCTTCATCTTCATGTGTAGGGCTTAGAGGTGAAGAGATAGCAGGGAAAAAGTCAGGTTTAGAGTGTTTAGATCACAGTGTGCCCCCCCCCCCCCGCCCACTTTAATGAAATGAATGGAAAAAATGAATTTAAACAGACATCAATAATCCCTCTTCTCTCCCCACCTTCTTCTAAGATGAGGATCAGGTCACCCATTAGATCATCTCGTTGAGTTTCTATCTGCTCCAGTCAATGCCAGAACGAATCCCTGCTTCAAATCTCCCTAGGAACTCGCCATTGACTATAGGATAAAATATAAGCCCATTGTGATCTTACCGCAACCTTTCTTTCCAACTTCGTCTCCCTCTGCTTCTTCCCTCCGCTTTTGCTCTAGAATCTCACATTCCCCAAACCTACCAGCCTAGTTCAAGCAGTTCTTCCTTTTATCTTTTTAACTTTTTTTCTTTTTTTTGGCGGGGGCGGGGGGGGGGGGGAGCAGAGAGAGGATCCCAAGCAGGCTCCGTGAAGTCAACGCAGACCCTGACGCGGGGCTCGATCTCACGACCATGAGATCATGACCCGAACTGAAGTCTAGAGTCCGATGCTTAACCGACAGTCACCCAGGTGCCCTGCAAATCTCCCTTTTTATTTACTATTTCCCTTATCAGACATGCCTTCCACATCTTCTATTGCTGGAAAACATGGCAATTTGTTCTCAATGTGTCTGCGTTTCTCCGAATCGTACCTCCAAGAATCCTTTCCCGATTCTCCCAGTCTGACCTTCTTATCTGCTGCCCCAATAACGTGTCCTTCCATCTTGTACCTTAACCCACTGTCTCTGGATCTGCCTCCAGTTCGTTCACTTTGCCTGGTAAACTAACAAGTTACAAGGAGGCAGAGCTCTGTGATTTCTGTATCCCAGCACTAGTGCCGTGTAATCCATGGCAGCAAGAGCACAGTCCTGGCACAGAGTGGTACTTAGTATTCCCGAAGGAAACGAATGACCGCCGTGCACGAGAATACGGATGGCAGCTGCACCGGAGGGAGTGTAAGAGAGGCAGGGTGGACGGTGTCACGAAGAACCAGGACAGAGGACCAAGGGACAGAATGCTGGAGAACATCAACACCCATATGAGAACTTCTGCCTCTGGCTTAGTGAAACAGATTTACAGCCACAATTATATGGAAGGCAGAAGGAGAGGAGCCCTCAAAGAAAATCAGAGAGGGGCCACCACGGGAGGAAAAGCACCAGAGAGAGCGCTGTTCTGAACGACAACGGCAAGTTTTAAGGAATTTCCTTCATGCATCTCATAACTGAGCACACACGCCCACCTTTGAGGCCATATGCTAGTTCTGTGATGATCAGGGGCTGTGAAGGAGGGCTGGGTTCTAATCCCCACCATCCCCCTTTCTGAAAGTCTAAGACCTACCTGCCTAAAAAAATCAAATTTTTGTATCATTTATAAATGAACGGTCACAGTGCCAATCTCCACGGTTACCATGAGAATGAAATGTGATAAAAATGTTGAAAGCCTAGCACTGTTCAGAGCACATAATGGGCCCTCAAGAATTGTCGGTGTCCTTTTCTTCACGGAAGCATTTGCTATGTCAGAAGTACCCGATTCTCATGTTCTGACCGCACACTGCTGGTATTTCTCCTAAAGCATTACCTGCCTTGTTGACATTATGTCCTTTGTAACCTGTCTTCCTGTCCCTCAGGCCCTTGTCTGGTACTTCCTACACAACTGGACCTCCGTAAATGGTTATCAAATCCAATTCGATATTGTGACTTCTAGGGAGACTATAAGGAAATGGGGTAAGTTATCCCTGCTTTGAAACTTGTAATTCCCCCCGATCTATAGTATAAAGTCTAAATCTGTGCCATCCAATAGTGACTACTATCCAGGTGTGGCTCTTGAGCACTTGAAATGGATCAGGCTCAAAATGAGCTGGAAGTATAAAACATATCTGGATCTTGAAGACTTGGCATGAATACAATACTGTAAAATACCTCAGTATTGGTTACATGTTGAAAGAATATTTTGGTATACTGGGATCAATGAAATACATTAATGTCACCTGTTTCTTTTTGCTTTTTAACATATGGCTACTAGAAAACTCTTAAATGACATCTGTGGTTTGCCTTATAGTTCCATCGGATGGGGCTGGTCTAAATGGCAAATAGACAGCGTGGGCCCTCCTGGATCCCGCTCTGTATGTGCCCCTGGCTTCGTTCCTGCTGCTCCCACACTGCACCTTATGCTCGGGCCTGATCTTTGTTTGTGGATTCCTGGACCAGCCTCACTGTTGAACAGTATGTCTTTGCCCCTACTTTTCCTTGGGCCTGGAACATACATTCCGACATTTTCACCTGGCCAATTCCTACAGGTCTTTCAAGAATAAACTCAACTGTCAACTCTTCAAGAAAGGGGGCCCAGAGCCTCATCTCTGGGCTTCTATAACCTCTTAGCAGTGATTATATTATATTGCAAAGTCCTACTTATGTGGTCATCTGCCTCCAAACAGCTCCTGACCCCCAGGCATTCTGGCCTCCACGCCCATCTTGAACCAAAGGCAGAGAATATATTCTATTCATTTTTGTACTTCAGAATCTAGCAGCATCTGAACAGAGGTAAAGCTCAATAAACAGTGAACGAATCACTCGACATGTGCTTACCAAGTGCCCAGCACCCTGCTAGAGGGTAACTATATGGGGACCATGAATTGAGGCAGGCAGGCCAGAACTCAAGGAGAAACATGAAACAGGCTTCCCCTATGATCCACTGCTTGCGTTCGTATCCTCGGTCAGAAAATTTTGATACTTCTCCAGAGTTCACTGACCGTGTTTACCCTAATGTATTAAAAATAACTCCAGGGGCGCCTGGGTGGCGCAGTCGGTTAAGCGTCCGACTTCAGCCAGGTCACGATCTCGCGGTCCTTGAGTTCGAGCCCCGCGTCGGGCTCTGGGCTGATGGCTCAGAGCCTGAGGCCTGTTTCCGATTCTGTGTCTCCCTCTCTCTCTGCCCCTCTCCCATTCATGCTCTGTCTCTCTCTGTCGCAAAAATAAATAAACATTGAAAAAAAAAATTTTTTTTAAAATAAAAATAAAAATAACTCCAGGGGAAGAGTGACGGACTCTGAAGAGGCGGGTAAGAGGCCGGCAATGCCTTTGCCAAGACCGTGCTCTGAACCTACCAGTAAAAGAGGTTTTAGCAATACCAAGACCAAGACAACATGGGCCCTCCTCACCAGGAGCTCTGACGGGAAGGAGGTAGAGGAGAGTGAGGATGAACTGGCATGTTAGCAAATAAATGACATACAGCGATGTCAGCACCAACTTGTGACCTTACAGGGAAGGGGCTGGGTACTTCTCTCTGAAGGAGGGGGACTGGGAAGGCTTCTTACAGGAGGGGTATCTGATGGTCGATGTTTGCCAGATCATCAAGTTGGGGAGTAAAGGCACAGAGACTCGAAACAGCACGCTGGATTTGGGAAACTAAGGTCTTGGGGAGTCACGTGATCGCCTTATGCCTATTTGTGTGACTCCCACAATCCAGGAGCCCCTGAGGGTAGTGGTCATATCGCACCACTGCTGCAGTCCCCACAGTTAGAAAGTGACTGGCTAGTGACGTGGGGGTCTCAGTAAGTGTTTGCTGGTGAGTTTGGCGTGGGCTAGAACAAGGCAGGAGGCAAAGGCTAGAACAAGGCAGGAGCCCTGAGCACCTTCTCTGTACCAGGCACCTTGCGGGGCACGAGGGAGGCTGAACAAGGCCAGTTTGCCCAGCTGGCCCACTGAGGAAAGCGCAGCTGGCCCACTGAGGAAAACTAGTTCAGTCATCAGAGGGTCAGTGGTTGGAAAAAATGGTTTTCCATTTGAAGGTAAAACTCACCTGAATTCTCCACGGAGACCACTCTTCCAAGGCTGAAAGTAAAGAGGAAACTGGTCATCTTCAGAAATCAATCCAAACCATGCCTTTGTTGTTTGGCTACAGCCCATTAGAGACTTGAACAAAAGATGAGGTGAGGCCCGAGGACAGAGCAAAGGCAGACACGGACAACAGAAATTTCCAGGAACCATGAGAGGAAAACAAGCACCCCCAGAGCTACGGCACACGCCACAAGAAATGTGCAATTTGCTTAGGAGGACTAATTGTCCTCTGCATGCTTTTCCAGGAGGGCCTCTGTAGAGGAACGACTTTCTGGTCACTTGAGGAAACATGTGCTGGGGATACTGGGGCAATGTTTCAGTGGGCAGAAGTGGTAAATGAGTATGTAAGCCATGCTGGGGACTCTCCCTTGCTGGTCGTGCCCCACCCTGATCCAAAGTCAGCTCTCATATGATCTGGATTTGGCTCTGTTAAAATTACGTCCCAGTGACCACAACAGAGCTCCTCGTTTATTCAGTCGTCACACAGATCTGATTCATTCGTTATTCTGAATCTAGACAAGAATACTGAAGCAAACAGAAAATATCTAAGCCTCGAAAATGCTGCCACCAAAACCAGCCTCATAGCTCATTTACCCTCCTTTGAGGGTAACCCCACAAGCCTTCATTCGGGGACTACTGGTTTTTCTTTTCTTTTTCTTTTTTTTTTTTTTTAATTTTTTTTTCAACGTTTTTTATTTATTTTTGGGACAGAGAGAGACAGAGCATGAACGGGGGAGGGGCAGAGAGAGAGGGAGACACAGAATCGGAAACAGGCTCCAGGCTCTGAGCCATCAGCCCAGAGCCCGACGCGGGGCTCGAACCCACGGACGGTGAGATCGTGACCTGGCTGAAGTCGGACGCTTAACCGACTGCGCCACTCAGACGCCCCAATTTTCCATAGAATTCTAACAAACTGGATGGCAGCACAGGTAAAATAACACGTCAGACGGACCTCCGCTGCGTTACTCACAGGTTGTTTTCTCTCTCTGAGCCTTGAGTTCTCACCTGGGAAATGAAGCAGAGATACTACCTCGGCAGGGAACACTGAGGATTAAGTGCTCCCACATTTGCACCGGTGCCTGACACACAGTAAGGACTCGGCACGTGCTTTTCCACGTGAAAGACTCTCTTCCAGACACAAAGGTATTGACAAAGAAATCCTAACTGTCCGACAGGAGACAGCAAACACCCTTGTGGTGGTCGGATGTGAAGGGATCTAGCTCCGAACACCTAACAAGGGCCCAAAAGCATTTCACCAAGAAGAGCGTGAACTATGCCCACTCAGTCCATTATGTTCCAGAGGATTCCACGTCATCAAGAAAAGGTGAAGTCAGATTCCATGCACCCAGTTAAGAATACTGAGATCAACAGGGGTGCCTGGGTGGCGCAGTGGGTTAAGCATCCAACTCTTGGTCTTGGCTCACGGCACGATCTCACGGTTCATGAGTTCGAGCCCCACATCGGGCTCTGCACTGATGGGGTGGAGCCTGCCTGAGATTCTGTCTCTCCTTCTCTCTGGGCCTCTCCTGCTTGTGCTTTCTCTCCCTCTCCTGCCCTCCCTCCCTCCCCCACTCTCTCTCTCAAAATAAAAACGAATACTGAGTGAACACAATTCATGTCTCTACATTAAGACTTAAAAATACTTTCAAGCTTTTAAAATTTTGAATCGATTTAGCTATTTATGGATTTCACCTGTGCAGAAAAGTTTATCATTTGGTGATGCTGCCAGATAACTGAAGCCAGTTTTTTTTTTTTTTTTGGTTTGTTTCTGGAAGCTTTTTAAAATCAGAATGGTTCTACCCTTGTTAATAAGAACAACAATCATTTATAGTTTTCTAGCTATAAAGCGTACCCACTAACGAACAGTCCTTTGCAGCAAGTGTAAGAAAGCAAGCAGAAAGATGTAAGATTTGACTAAATGAAACCAATAAGAAAAGAGTAAACTTCAACTGACCCACAACATGAAGTTAGCACCTACTGTGTGCCAGGCACTTACCTACTCTGAGTTCTCCCAGCGATGATGAACCCCCTTATTTACTGAGCATCTACTACAGAAGATATGGTAACCACAAGGCATATGCTTCCTGTCCTTACAGAGAATACACATTTTACACAGACATAACTGGGGCTCATGACTGCAACAGAAGCCAGCACTTACTATTAAACTGTTCACCTGAATTTACCTTATTCTCATTCCTATAATGACCCCAGATGCTGGTACTTCTTTTTTATTTTTAAAAAAATTTTTAATATGATTATTTAAATTTTTTTTTAATGTTTATTTATTTTTGAGAGACAGAAACAGAGTGTGAGCGGGGGAGGGGCAGAGAGAGAGAGAGAGAGAGAGAGAGAGAGAGAGAGAGACAGACAGACAGAATCTGAAGAGGCTCCAGGCTCTGACCTGTCAGCACAGAGCCCGATGCAGGACTCGAACTCACAGACTGTGAGATCATGACCTGAGCCAAAGTCGGATGCTTCACCCACTGAGCCACCCAGGCACCCATGGGTACTTCTATTATCTCTATTTTACAGGTGAGGAAATGGAGGTTCAAGATCACACAGCCAGGGGCTGGGATTGAGGCCAGCAGTGATTCTGCCTGAACCCTAATCAAGCTGTTCCAAGGTGGCACCTACACTGTGCCCACGAGGAGCCAGAAAATGTGCCTTCAAAGGGCTGGTCATTCTCGTGAAAACACAGATATGCGCATTTGGCTTGTGCCACAGCAGTCCTCTCTCTGAAGGGACAGTTATTAAAGGCCGGTTGATGCTGGCCGCCATAGATAAGGGGCTTAGAATGGATTGGGACCAGATTCTCTCCCCCTTCCACATTTTCTATCTCTGTTATTACAGGCCTTAGGCTACAGAATCTTAACAGCTGGAGTCTTGGAAAACCCTCAGGAATCAGGGGAAAACCAAAAGCAAAGGCTTTTCTCCTTGCTCATAAAAACAAAATACTTTACAATCAATTCTGTATACCTGTTGTAGTTATAAAGTTGGTAAAAAGAGCAAACAATACCTTTCGCAGTTCTTCGATTTCGACTTCGTAAGTTGCTAAAATAAATACGAAAAACATTCTATCAAAGGCAGTGTATTCGCCCATTCCGTACAGCACCCAGGATTCAAGCGATTGCGCAAGACTGCAGAGCTCAGTTTTCTCAGCCTTCAGAACGCGGATCTGTGTGAGGCTTTGTCTACACGGTCTGGGAAACTCTCGGGTCACTGATCAGGGCTTTAATCCCTGTGGGGATTTCCAGGATGGAATAGAGAGTCAGTGAAAACACTTGAAACAACTTTCGGTGTCCTGTTTTGGTAAACAGATGTGCACCCAAAGCTTAGGAGAGAGCACTGAAATTTCGTGGTAGCCGTAAGACGAGGAACTTGGAAGGGAAGGGAAAAAAGGACACCCCCTCCAAAAAAAAAAAAAAAAAGCCTAAATCTAACTTCAACAAAATGAACTCCATAGCACAGTTATAAGTGTTTTACTCTATGACAGTTTTGTTTCCTTAGTATCTTTTTGTTTTATTGTTTATTTGTGAGAGAGAGAGAGGGAGGGGAGGGAGGATGGACGGACACAGGCAGGGTAGGGGCAGAGAGAGAGAGAGGGAGACACAGAATCTGAAGCAGGCTCCAGTCAGAGCAGAGCCCCATGCAGGGCTCCATCTCACTAACGATGAGATCACGACCTGAGCTGAAGTAGGACACTTAACTGATTGCGCCACCCAGGCACCCCCTCCTTAGCACCTCTTGAAAAGAGGAGACTGGCCACCAGCTAAGGTTGGAATTCCTTTCGATTGTTTCCGAGCGTTCTGTGGAACGTATTGAGTGATGTGATCCCAACCTTAATGATTGGCAAACGCCAAGGAGTGGCAAGAATGTGGGTTCAGAGCCCAGTCCTGCCACTTGCCATCTATGGGATTGCAGACAAATTCCTTCATTTTCTTGAGTCTCAGTGTGCTCATTTGAGAAAGGTAGTCAATGGGAAACCTCCTTACACAGTTAATGGGGAGGTTAAAGGAGATGATGTAAGAAATGGAACATACTTAGCAGAGCACCAGACATTGTATAGAAAGTGATGGGTTTTTTGATAAATTTGCTTCTTTGAATTTTCTTTCTTGAAATGTCATCTATAAAAGTTTTTTCCTTCCTGCTAATGAATATGTGGGCATAATAGGTAGGGCTCTCCCTGTGTTTCTTTTCTTTCTTGCTGCTAGGGTCCTAAAGGTTTTGTTTAAAAAACTGACCAAACAATATGTTGCATTTCTCAGCCATCATCATTCTACACAGGTAGTCCATTGATAAAAGAAATGAAATCCTAGGCTTTCTTTAGGGATTGCCTACAAGTGACTACTGAACAAAGACCTAAGATTCTCTATGTATGATTAATACTATGTGCTTCAACGTGAGTACCTGTACACTTTTACTTTTTACTGATTTGTGAATCAAAAGGTATTACACCTTGCTATTGCTTGCTTTAAAACCTTTGTTTAGCCATTAATACATTACAATCATATTTGCTTATGATGCAATTTACTCCATGCCCATTCCAAGTATGGCTTTTCCAATTTTAAAAATGATAATTTCCCTCCCCTAACTTATTTACTATTTTTTGCTTTTCAAAGAATTAATAAATCACGATCTTCTTGCTTTTCGTTGCCACCTGGGGAGAGGGGAGATATCAGTATCCTGTCTTAGAGATGGGGAAACCGAGGCTCAGAGGAATCTTACTTGCCAAGGCTAGGACACAAAAGTACACACGGAGTAAATGATGCGTTCATAACCTGACGATGCTCTTTAACAAAGTGGAGGTGCCCCAATGATAAGTTTTGCCATCACAACTTGCTCCTAAGGTAGGAATATAAAGGACAAAGGACTGTACCCCGAGGGGTTAGGAAGGGACTAGGACATAACAGGAAGATGCAGCCCACAGCACTGGAGCCCTCTCTCTCCACTGAAGATCTTTATCCCAGCTGGGGAAAAAGGAACCTATCAGAAGATGGTCTTTGGCACCCTCCAACGGCCCGTACCATAAAATGACCACAGCCTTTGGCTTTTTCTCCACGTGCTAACTCTCTGTGTGGCCTTGGAAAACCAGGAGGTGAGAGCACTATTACTAGTATACAGAAACAAGAAGCAGCAGTGGCTAATAGTTTTTACACTTACAGATAGCAGGCGCTAAGCTAACTGTGTAAATGCGTGATTTCACTTAATTCATACAGTGATCACCAGTGATACATTTCACTAATGAGGAAGCAGATGCCCAGAGAGTGACATTACTTTCCCAAGGTCATTCAGTTAGCAAATGGCCTTCAAACTTCCTTCCAGCCATGATTCATTCATTTAAATCGAATAGCACCCACAATGATGGGTAGAACTCTTATTAATGTTACCCTCAAGGGTTTCTAGTACTCCTCAGGAAGCACAGTCTGAATGGCTGGTCTAAATGACCTCTGAGGACAATTCTGCAGAGCTTCTAGAAAAGCTTAAACCCTGCTTACCCCAGTACTATACAAAAGGGCAAAGCCTCAGAAAACCTTGGAGCTATGTGTTGAGCTATGCAACCCAGAGGGGATGGTCTTGTAACATCTTGTTAGTCTAAGTATTTATCTTCCTTGAGAAATTGTAAATGTTATGAATTTTTCTGATTTTATTGTGTCCATTGCTGGGATATAGAAATAGGATTTTTTTAATGTCCATTTTGTATCCCGTAACCTTATTGAATTCATTTACCAGTTCTAAGAATTTTTTTTTTTGGGGGGGGGGAGATTCCTTGGGATTTTCTACCTAAACAATCCTGTGATCTGCAAATAAGGACAGTTTAATTCTTTGATTTGTATACCATTCATTTCCTTTTCTTGACTTATTGCATTGGCTAGAACTTCTAGCAAATGTTGAATAGGTGCAGTTAAGAGTGGACATCCTTGCCTTGTTGCCAATCTCAGGGGGAAAGTATTCAGTACCTCTCCATTAAGCATCATGTTAGCTGTAGGCTTTTTTGCAAATGCTTTTTTTCAAGTTGAGGAAGTACCTCTCTATTCCTGTTTTTCTGAGGAAAAAGTTATCATAATGGGTGTTGAATCAGTCAAATGCTTTTTTTGCACAGATTGAGATGATTGTGATTTTTCTTCTTTAGGCTGTCAATAAGGATTTCATGGATTAATTTTTGAATATTGAACCAGCTTTATCCCTGAAATAAACAACATTTGATTATGGTATAATTCTACTTTATATCTTGCTGAATTCTATTTTCTAATATTTTGCTAAGGATTTTTCTGACTATACTCACAAAAGATGTTAATCTGCAGTATTATTCTTGTGGTCTCTGTCTAGGTCTGGTATCGGTAACATCAGCTTCTTAAAATGAATCAGCAAGTGTTTCCTCCTCTTCCATTTTTCTTGGAAACACTGTGTAGAATTGATGTTAATTCATTTTTAAACATTTGACAGAATTTTCCAGTGAAAAGTCCCTAGAATTTGAGATAGCCTTTTTTGGGAATTTAGTTTTTTATTTACCAATTTATTTATTTAAAAATTTTAATTCAAGTATTGTTGACACAGTGTTATAGCTTTTTTGGGGGGAGTTTTAAAATTATGGATTCAAAGTCCTTAGCAGTCACAGGGCTATTCAAATGATTTATACTAGGTTACTTGAGGTACTGTGAGCTTTTTGTAGAACTGTTCCTTCTTCAAGTTGTCAACTTTAGACGTGTAGAATCGTTCATAATATCCTTACTGCCCTTTTGATGTCTGCAGGGTTTGTAATGGTATCTCTGTTTCATTCTTGATATCGTTCATTTGTGTCTTCTTTCTCTCTTATTTTGTTACTCTTGCTAGACATTTGTCAATTTTATTGATCTTTTCAAGGAACAAGCTTTTGCTTTCATTGATTTTCTCTATTGCTTTTCTGTTTTCAATTTCATGTATTTCTGTTCTTGATCTTTCTTTTGTTCATTCCCCTTGTTTTAGATTTATTTTTCTCTTTTTCTGTGTTGAGGTAAGATCTTAGATTTAAAGATTTTCCTATTTTTTAGTGTAAACATTTAGTGCTATTAATTTCTCCTCTGCATTCCTCAGGCTATGTCCCACAGATTTTTATATATTTTCATTTTCATTAAGTTCAATATATATTTTGGCCACCCTTGAGACTTTCTGACCCATGGATTACTTAGAAAGGTGTGATTTTGGTTCTAAGTGTTTAGAGAGTTTTCTGTTATCTTTTGGTTACTGATTTCCAGTTTGATTACATTGTGAAAATACACTATGATTTCAAGTTTTCAAAATGTGTTGCGATTTGTTTTATGGCCAGAATATAGTCTATCTTTGTATATGTTTACAGGTGCTTGAAAGTATATGTATTCTGCTCCTGTTGTGCATTCTATAGATATCAGTTAGATCTTGTTGCTTGATGGTGTGGCTGAATTCTTCTGTATCCTTAATGATTTTCTGAGTAGGTGTTCTGTCAATGTGGAGAGAGGGGTGTTAAAGTCTCAAACTATGAGCCTATTTGTCTATTTCTTCTTTCGGTTTCTGCTTCGCATATATTACAGCTCTGGAGCTCGGTGAACACACATTTAGGATTGTTCTGTCTTCTTGATGGATTGACCCTTTTCTTATTACATAATGTCCTTCTGAATCTCTCATAATTTTCTGTGCTCTGAAGTTTACTTTATCTGTTATTAGTATAGCCATACCTACATTCTTTGGATTAAATTTACATCTGCCAATCCCTTTCTTTTCATTGGCATATTTAGACAATTTACATTTAATGTAATTAATGCAATCATTGATATGTTAGGGCTTAAGTCAGCCTTTTATTTTTTATTTTTTGTTTATTCTGTTTTTTGCTCTTCTGAGATTTCCTGTTTCCTTATGGGTTACTTGAGCATTTTTTTGAATTTTTTTTTATCTGTAGTGTTTTTTAAATTATATCTCACTGTACACCTGTTTTAGTGGTTGTTCTATGGATTACACTATATGTACACATAACTTATCACAGTCTACTGGTGTGGACATTTTATCAGTTAATGTGAAGTAAGGTATAGAAACCTTACTTCCTTTTACATCCCTTAACCCTTTCCTTATAATGGTCTTACATATTTATTTTATATACATTTAGAACTACATCAGACAATGTTAACAGTTTTTGCTTCAACCAGCAAACATAATTTAGAAAATTCAAAAGAAGAAAAGTGTGTCACATTTACTCACATTTGTATTCTTTTCCATTGTTTTTTCTCCTGAACTGATGGTCCAAGATCCTTCCTTTTATCATTTCTTTTCTGTTTAGAAAGCTTCCTTTAGCCATTCTTTCAGGATAGGTCTGCTCTAACAAATTTTCTTAGTTTTCCTTCATTTGAGAATGTCTTGATTTCCCCTTCAATCTTCAAGGATATTTTCACTGGTAATAGGATTCTGGATTGATAGTTCTTTTCTTCTTGCACTTGAAAAATGTTGTGCCACTTCCTTCTAGCTTTCAAGGTTTCTGAGGAGAAATTCAGTCATTCAAATTGTTTTCCACCTATAGGTAATATATCATGTCTTTGCTACTTTCAAGAGGTTTACTTTTTATTTTTAGAAGTTTGATTATGTTTTTGTGTAGATCAGGTTTATCTTCTTTGGGGTTTTCTTGGCTTCTTCAATCTTTTATGCCTTTTACCAAATTTGGGAAGTTTTCAGTTATCATTTCTTCAAGTACTTCTTCAGTAGCATCCTTTCCCCCAATCTTTCCAGTACTACAATTTAAGTCATAGTCCCACAGGTCCTTGAATCTCTGTTCATCACCCCTCCCCCAATCGCTTTTCTCCATGCTGTTCAGATTGGATACTTTCTATCATTTCTTTCAAGTTCATGGATTCTTCTCTTCTCCTCATTCTGCTGCTGAGCCCATCCAGTAAGCTTTTTATTTTTTATTGTATTCTTCACTTCTAACGTTTCTGTTTCTTTTTTTTTTTTTTACATCTTCCATTTCTTTGCAGAGACATTCCATTTCTTCCAAAAATAAAATAAAACTATTTTTTTGTGTGTGTTTCAGTCATGTGCATAATTACTCAAGCATTTTTTAAATGTTTTTTATCTTGAGAGAGAGAGAAAGGGGGGCGCAGAGGAAGAGGGAGAGAGAGAGAATCCCAAGCAGGCTCCACGGTGTCTGAGCAGAGAGCCTGGAGTGGGGCTTGATCCCACAAACCAAAATCAGGACTGAGTCACTCAACAGACTGAGCCAGCCAGGCGCCCCAACACTGAACTATTTTTGTTAACTGCTTTAAAGTCTCTGTCAGAATATTCTACTACTTCAGTCATCTCAATGTTGGCATCTACTGATCACCTCTTTTCATTCAAGTTTACACTCTCCTGGCTCTTGGTATGATGACTACTTTTCTACTGACACCATGGGCATTTTAAGTATTATGTTAGGAGACTCTGGATATTATTGGAAGCTTCTATTTTATTTGGTTTTTCCCGGTGGCAGAAATGGGGGTGACTCTTTTCTGTCGGGTGAGGGAACACATCTAGGTTCCCCACTTCCTGGCCTCCTGATAACGCAGATGAGGGAAAGGTTGTTCACGACTGCTGGGCAGGACTGGGCACTCCAGTTCCGCACTCAGCTTCTGCTGATAAGGCTGGGAGTGGTAGGAGTGCTTGCTATTATTCCTCATTTGGCATCCTTACTGCTGGGTAGTTGTCCAAGTCCTGACTCTCCGCTAGGTTTTCTCTAACACCATCCCAAGAGGGAAAAGAAAGGGCACCTTGTTATTGCTTGATGGGCGGGAGACTGGAATACAAGCTCCCCACGTGGTCTTCACGGACGTCCACTGTAGGTGAAGGGTTTTTTTACTCCCGGCAGGGATGGAAGTCCCAGCTTCTGACCTGACTTTCTCTGATACCACCTCAGCAGAGCTGTTGGGATGTGTACTGCAGCCTCATGAGGGTGTCTTAGGCTCCCCAGTCAGCACTGGCTGGTAGGACGGAGCCACAGTTTTTTCTGTGACGTTTGGCGGGAGAGGAACAGTTATTGTCTTGAGGCGTTCTGTTTTTTCTAGGCTGCCCCTTTTCTGGTCCTTTGGCTAGACAGAACAGGCTCTTGCTGCACCTCTTTCTGTTTGTGCTCACTGGTGTTTCCGGACTGCCAACTTCTTCACCTCCAACTCTGAGATAAATGAGGCAAGAAGAAAACACAAGGAACTCACCACCTACTCGTCCTTGGGTCTTCGGGTCTCTAGCGGGTCCACCTTCTTGTTTCTACCTTCAGAGTCTTCCAGTTTTCTTATGGTTGTTTTACATATACTGTCTGACTGTTCTAGCTGTACTTAGCAGGGGGAATAGGGAAAAGTCTATATGCTCCATCTTTCCAGGAGCACAATTCCACTTGACCTCAAATGTCTTGTTTTACCCAAGTCTCAGAACAACTCCACAAAGGAAATATTATGCCCATTTTACAGATGAAGACACTGAGGTTCAAATATCATTCATTAAGTGGTATAAAGATAACGGAAAATAAATGGGGCAAGAGTCAAATGAGTAAGTACAAGTGGAAGTAAAAGAGCTCATCTCCTCCCCTCCCCTCCCCCTTCCCGGGGGGGCCCCCCCCCCCATAGGGTAACTTCACCTTGGTTGGCTCTTTAAAGAGGAACAAGGAAAGGGGTGGGGACATGTAACAAGATCCTTTTGACCCCGGGCTATAGTTCCTCAGCTTCTCGGGCCCTGGTAGGTCAACCCTACCTCCCAGCAGGATATTCTCTCTGGCAAGGGACACCCTCCCCACCCTCACCTGTCTCCCACCTTGCTCCTTTTGGGCTATCCTATGCTCTGTTACTCTCCATTGAATCAGTGACTTATTTTCTGAGCCCTTTCTCTCTCAGTCATAAACACCTGCCTCTTTGGGAAGTACACAAAGAACCCTCAGGGAAAGACTGTATAGAGGCTTGAGTTAGTGGTTCCTTCTGTGGGTACCTCAGGTGATGTCCCCTGGCAGGTTCACCTTGAACATGTGTGGCTTGAGGAGATCAAATGTAGACCTCCAGCTTCTCATTTTCAATATGCACCTTCACCCTTCATGACAAGGTGTCCAAACCACACCTATACCACCCCCCATGAGCGGCTCTCTCTGCAGCCCAGTCTGTCCTGGGACTTAGGGACGAGACCCAAGCAGAACCTCAGACAACCACTTGGGAGGGGGACATTCTGAAGGTCTTACGTATCCAGAGACAGAACGTATAGGCTCTGACTGCCGCATCTAAATGGCCCTGTGAGCCCTTGTAGAAAGGCGTGCAGCTGGAATTTAGTCCAAATGGAGCCCACGGCCTTTCTATTCAAAGCATGGTTTGTAGACCAGCAGCATCAGCACCACCAGGGAACTTGTTAGAAATGAAGACTTTCAGGTCCAACCCCAGAGGTACCAAACCAGAATATGTTAAGCAAGATCCTCAGGTGATTCACATTTTAAATGTTAGAATTTGAGAAGCCATATTCTGATGTTGGTGCCCAGACACCGCAAGAATGGAACAATCCTGCCTTATGGAGGTGAGAGGGGAAAGGAGTTGCTTTTCTTGAGGTTAGTATTTTACAAGCCATAGGGAAGAGTCAAAACGTTGCCCAGTCGAAGAGTCAGAAAGAGGTTCTTCAACCCTTTATTTCCTGGGGGAGGGAAGCGAAATTTCAATGGGATCCCAACTCCTACTCCACAAACCTCTTCTGTCTGTATCCTCAGGCAAATGACTTCTCCCAGAGCCTTGGGTCTTTTCTCCATACAATAAAGAGGCTGAATCAGATGATCTCTCTTTAACCCTCTCTCCAGGGAAGCAAGAACATTCTTGAGTGAGAAGCAGAAAAACACTGCAAAGAGCAGGCATCTTAGAGGCAGCCTGAGCCTGTTTCACAGTAGAGCTTACCATATACTCCTTGTGTGACCCTGTACAACTCAATCTCTCCAGTACTCAGTTTCCGGTCTCAAAAAGTGGGCGAATAAAACTGCTGTAGCAGCAAGGATGTACACAGAGAGCCCAGAGAACACACAGAACCACAGAACTGTGGCCCACAGTATAGGTTCAGTAATATTAGTGTTCATTCTGACACAAATATTTGTGCCTTTTATAGAGAATGGGCTGATCCTATAGGCAGAACAAAGACACAGAAACTTGTAGAAATGTTACGAGTTCCTGCTTGTTCATTTTCTTACCTGACAGGGTCTCTTTCTTCCTAGAGAGGTCTGAGCTTTGTCGGCAACACCAGAGGCTGGAAGACGTAGCTCTGAACCAGTGGTCAGATCCATTAAATGAATTCTCTGCTGCTATTCAGACTAAACACAGGGACCTAATTCTCGTAGTCTGTTATCTCCCTCTCCACACACAGAGTTACCAGGGGAGTTCAAGAAAGACACCAGAAGAAGAGAGAGGAAGTTTCTACAGGAGGGGGAGGGAAGAAAAATGAATTGCCCTATCTTGATTTTCCCTCCCACATATCTATAGAAGGCAAGGCGTCTAAGTAGATTGGTGAAGGAGAGAATAGAAAGGGTAGAGAGAAGGCAGCACTAGGAGTTGTGAGATAGCAGTGATGCCCAAATGGATTTATTTGTATTTTTAAGAGACCAGACTGGGGGGGGGGGGCGGGGGCGGGGAAGAAAGGAGATGGTGGACCAGCATGGCCGTGAATTTTTAAACTCATAGTTAGCTAGAGGGAAAATGCCACTTTTGCTGCATTTTCATGCCACACAGGGTTACAGTATTAATTGGCTTAGCAGACTTACAATCAGCAATTTCTTTTGCGGTGCACAGGTTAATGGAGTTGCCAGAGTGTTTCAGATATGAAATTGTCGCCTCATAATTATGTGGTTCTTCAAATTCAGCACTGAGAAGCATGGGGGAAACAAAAAGGTTACTTAAAATAAAACATTGCTTTAAACATTTTAAAACTTTTTCTATTTTTTTTTCTTCATTAGAGAAGTAATATGCCTGACAAATACGGTGATTTAAACAGATATGGAAGGCGCACCAGCCCTACTCTCAACCTACAGGAATTCTGAAAAAACGTAACAATACAGGGAATTATATGAAGAACACATAACTCATCTAGACATCAATAAAGTCTCCAGGGGCCAGATATAGAGAAAGGAAGTCACAACTAAAGATGTATTATATGCAAAGAGAATTATATGCAAAGGGAAACTGAGACCGATAAGGAAAGATCTTAATGACTGGGTGGCCGAGGATTTACTTTCTGAGTCAGAAGTTAAGTCTCAGACACAGGCTTCCACTGAACGGGATGTTAGATCCAAGCTATCAGCATAAAGTTCAGAGTCACAAGATGCCATTTCATCGGTAAAACAAATCGTAAAAAATATGTGTGCTGGTTCCCAGGGAACAGCAGGGAAGCTTGGTATCTGGCTCTCATCACAGGAGCTAAAAGAGTCACCCATGAGAAACCGTAAACTTGAAAACCTAGCACTAAGTACAAGTGGGGTTCTGAATGCATGGTGTGTATTTCAGAGAGACACAGAGACAAAATAGTGCTCGAAATCCAACCCTCTCTTGTAAGGCCAATCTGAAATCGTTCTGTAAAGATGTTTCCACAACCCAAGGCACCTATGGTCTCCAAAGGAAATAATTCCCACATAAAACAAGCTTATAGTATAAAAAAAAAAAAATGCAAACCACACAAAGAGATGAGGTACCACAGATAGTCAGATATAACAGAACGACAGAAATAACAGAATGACATGCAAGTGATTTAAAAAAAAGTGTTTTAGGGGCGCCTGGGTGGCTCAGTCGGTTAAGCGACCGACTTCGGCTCAGGTCATGATCTCACGGTCCGTGAGTTCGAGCCCCGCGTCGGACTCTGTGCTGACAGCTCAGAGCCTGGAGCCTGTTTCAGATTCTGCGTCTCCCTCCCTCTCTGACCCTCCCCCATTCATGTTCTGTCTCTCTCTGTCTCAAAAATAAATAAACGTTAAAAAAATTTAAAAAAATAAATAAATAAAAAATAAAAAATAAATAAAAATAAGTGTTTTAAATGTTCAAAGAAATAAAGGAATAAAAGCCATTAGGCAAAAACAAAACAAAAGAGAACAAAAAAACAAAGATAAAAACAAAAAACAAGAGTGTGGGAAAAAAACCACATAGATTTAGGGACAGGAGACTGGAGTTATATAAATCATAAATACAGTTGTTGAAATAAATAATGTAGATGTTGAAAAGTAGACCAGACACAGCAGAAGAGAGAACTGGAGAATGAGTTAGATCTAAGGAAGTCATTCAGAATATAGCACTGAGAGAATGAAGAGATGGAAAATATTAAGAGAAGTTAACAGTGGGGAAGACAGAATGAGAAGGTTCAAAATATAAAGACGAGGAATTCTAAAAAGGAAAAAGAAAAAGGATGAAGAAAAGGAATCACTATTCCCATGATAATAGCTAAGACTTCTAAAATTAATAATGGACACAAATCCTTCTATTGAAACAGCTTCAACAGTAAGAAATAATGATAAATCCACACTTACACAGTTTGTAATAAGTTAGCGTAAGTCAAAGAAAACAAGAAAAATGTAAAATCTGGGGGAGAGAAAATATAGATTACCAAGGAGCAGCAGACTTACGATGGACTTCTTTCTAGCAACATTAAGTGGTGGAGACTGTGGATACTAAGTATACTGAGGAAAGATATCAGTATCAAATTATCTTCTAGCTAAATTGTCATTAAAAGTGAGGGAGTAACAAAGATCTTTTCAGAATACCAGTACACACGTTTACTGCTCGTAGATCTTTGCTGAAATACATCAACACATTCAAAGAAACTGAACTAGTAATGAAGTAGGATACAGGAAACAATGGTGGGGGAGTATTTAGAAAAGATGGCAGAGTAGGATTATCCTTAGCTCACCTTGTCCCACAGACACAGTGATATAACAACTACATCTATGGAACTAACTCTGAAAATGATCTCAAGACTGGAAGCACACACCTTCCGTGGTTAATTGTACAGAAACCACATGGAAAATGATAAGGGGGTAGAGACATAGTTGGGAAGAAAATTCCAAGCAAAACTAACCAAAAATGAGAGAGACACCACAAGCACAGAGAAGTAGGATCAGACCTGAGCCCAGGCACCCCAGGCACTAGGGGTCTGCACTGGAAGAAAAGTTCTCCTAAACATCTGGCTTTGAAAACCAATGGGGCTTAGTTACCCACAGGAGCTTTTAAAACCAGCAGACTTAACTGTGGGAAAACAAGGCAGTACAAGGAAACTGAGTCCTCTCAAAGAGCCAGCACTCTAAATGACTTGGCTGAGACACAACACAAAAGCAGCAGTATGAAAGGCGTCTGGGGTGTACATTAAGTTTTATTTACTAATTTCAGAACATGTGCTGTCAGGGCAGGAATCTTCAGGAGATTTCTCCAGGAACAAAGGCAGTGGTGGGCACCACTTCTCTTCCCCCAAACACTCCAGATGGCCAGATACTTGCGGGAACCAGCTCTAAAACTCTCCAACTTGCTAGCAACACATGCCCCACCTCCGTGTTCACCTGCAGACACCCCCCCCCCCCCCCAGCCCACCCACTTCAGCAGGTGTCCCTTCAAAACAGCTCCTGCCTGGCCATACCCTGCATGTGGCCCCAGCAGAACCCAGTATCACTCCAAAGTGACTCCTGCTCTAGGGAGAAGGGCAGATCATCTTAAACACTAGCACACCCATAGTTCAAGCACTGGCTGTTGAGGAAGTGGGCCCTGCTTTTGGGTGAGCCTACAACTGTGGCAGAGAGGCTAATTGCAGACATATAGTCTAAAGGCTGACCCTGCCCACCTAGGAGCCCCCCCCACCCCAGCCAGGCCTCACAATAGCTCAGGACCAACACTGCCCAGTGTGTTCACAACAGAGAAAACAGGTCATTGAAGCCAGCTGGTCTGAAGGCAATCACAATGCAGACACAGCAGTAAGGTGCACATAGTAAGCCCACAAAGGAGACATCCCTGGAGTGCCTGATTCTGGTAATTAGGAGGAATTGTGCTATAGGACACAATAGGACCTCTTCTATACAAGGCCGTTACTTTTAAGACCAGGAAAGGTAGCTGACCTCCCTAATGCAGAGAAACAAACACAGAGAGTTAGACAAAATGAAGAGACAGAGGACTATGTCCCAAATAAAAGAATGGAACAAAATTACAGCAAAAGAGCTAAATGAAACTGAAATAAACAATATGTCTGATAAAGAATTCGAAGTGATGGTCATAAAGACACTCAGTAGACTTAAGACAGGATAATCTCAATGAGAAGTTCAACAAAGAGAGAATAAATATTAAAAAAGAATCAGTCAGAGATGAAGAATTCAATAACTAAAAAAAAATACAAAAGAAGGAATCAACAGATTAGAAGATGCAGAAGAACAGATCAGCCATCTGGAAGGCAGAGCGATAGAAAGTACCCAAGCTGAACAGCAAAAAGTAAACAAATAGTTAAATAAAGGTTAAGGGAATTCAGGGACATAATCTAACACAGTAACATTCACATTATAGGGATCCTAGGAGAAGAGAGAGAAAAGGAGGCAGAACACTTATTTGAAGAAATTATAGCTGAAAACTTCCTGAATCTGGAGAAGGAAACAGAAATCCAGATCCAGAAGGCAAAGAGAACCTCTAGTGAAATTAACCCAAGGAGGTTCACACCAAGATACATAATTAAAGTGGCAAAACATACTGATAAAAAGAAAGAATTTTAAGGGCAGCAAGAGAAAAGAGTTACATACAAGAAAAACCCCAAATGGCTATCTGCTGATTTTCTAGCAGAAATTTTGCAGGTCAAAGGGAATGGCATGATATATCAAAGTATTGAGGAGAAAACAACCTGCCACCAAGAACAGTCTACCTAGAAAGGCTACTATTCAGAACAGAAAAAAGAAAATATTTCTCAAACAAAAGTTAAAGGGAGTCCATCACCACTAAACCAGATTTATATGAAGTACTAAAGGGATTATTTTGAGTGCAAAGAAAAGGCCAAAACTAGAAGAAAATCATTAAAGAAAAAATTTCACAGGTAAAAGCCAACATTTAGTAAAGACAGATTAATCACTGATGAAGCTAATATGGAGGTTAAAACACAAAAGTAGTAAAATCACTTATATCTACAAATATCAGTTGAGAAATACACTAAATAAAAAGCTGTAAAGTAAGATATCAAAAAACACGTAGAGGGAAGTAAAAATTTACTGCTTTTAGAATGTGTTCAAACTTAAGTGACCATCAAATTAAAAAGACTGCTATACACATAAGATGTTACATATGAACCTACTGGGAACCACAAATAAAAAACCTCTAATAAAGACAAAAAAATAAAAAGAAAGGAAGACAAGTGTAATACTAAAGGAGACATCAAACCACAAGGGAAAAGAGCAAGAGAAGAAAAAAGGAACAAAGAATTACACAAAATCATACAAAAAGTAATTAACAAAATGACAGTAAGTAAATACCTATCGACTTTAAGTAGACTAAACGCTCCAATCAAAAGACAGAGGCTGACTGAATGGATATAGAAACAAATCCACATACACCCACATCCACATACAAATCCACAACAATTCATATACATGCTGCCTATAAGAGACCCACTTCAGACCTAAAGATACACACAGACTGAAAGTGAAAGTTGGGAAAAACATATACTACTTAAATGAAAGTAAACAAAACAAAATTCAGGGCAGCTATCACTTTTATCAGACAAAACAGACCTTAAAACCAAGACTGTAGCAAAAGACAAAGAAGGGCACCACATAATGGTAAAGGGATCGATCAACCCAACAAGAAGATATAAAAATTCTAAGTATCTATGCACCCAACATTGGAGCAACTAAATAAATAAAG